AGGATTTAAAATTGGTCCTTGTTTTTGTTTTTGTTTGTTTTGTTTGCTTTTGCGGTACGTGGGCCTCTCACTGTTGTGGCCTCTCCCGTCGCGGAGCACAGGCTCTGGACGCGCAGGCCCAGCGGCCATGGCTCACGGGCCCAGCCGCTCCTCGGCATGTGGGATCTTCCCGGACCGGGGCACGGACCCACGTCCCCTGCATCGGCAGGTGGACTCTCAACCACTGCGCCACCAGGGAAGTCCTTGGTCCTTGTTTTTAAGGACCGCCAAGTACAGGTTTATTCACAAGTGTGCAGAATTATCTGGGAAAACTCTTAGGGAGGGAATTTTTTTTTTAAGTGCTAGCAGTTGCACTTAGACGTCCAACAGGAAGCACTAGACAGAATGTGTCTCACGGGATATGTCCTACTTCTTCTAAAACCTGTTGTTGGGCCCGTGAAATACTTTGAACTGCTCAGAACAAAAATGTAATACAAACACCAGGTAGTGATAGTGTCGTTCATGATCCTCTTTTTGCAGCTGGAGACTAGAAGTATTTGAGATGAGGTTCAGCTGAGGTTCCCTTACTGGAGGCTAATCAGGCTTTAAACCACATCAAAGTGTGAGCGTGTCAGGCAAGGTGACAAGTTCATAGCAAATGTTAAGAAAAGATACAATGTTATGACATCTAGTATAAAATATTATTTTATAAAACGAGTATGATTTTTCCTAGTTCAGTATCTTTCTGTTTACCTTCTTGATAGAATGTGCCAAAGTTAGGCCTTTGGAACCTGAAAATCAAATTAGGACTCAAGAATCTCCTGAATCCTGTTGCAAACAAAACTCAGCCAACTGAGTTGAGAGAGAGAGAGTATGCGCACAAAAATTGTATGACCATGAAGACAGAACATGCCGTACTTGGCTTCCTGATCCAGCTGTTAGAGAACCACCTGACAAGCCACTGTGTGTACATTCATTTCACCTTTATGGGTCCATGTGGAGATGGTATTAAATAGTGATTGATAGCATACTATCATAGCCAAGTGCAGCTGGTTTGAATTGTAGCTCTACCATGACCTACCTATACGTCCCTGAGTTACTGTGTGGAACTCAAAGGCTCACTTTTGTCATCTATGAAATGGGAATAAAACTTTTACCTCTATCATGTGATTTTTTTAGATTACACAACGATAGTGCATATACAAACATACAGTACCTCTCCCTGGCTAAGTGTTCACTACATGTTGGTTATTATTTTGCGGTCATCAAAGGATGCAAAACTTCCTTACAGGAAAAGGTGATACATACAGGACTCCCCAGAAAATCATGTATGTTGTATTGCCTTGAAAGGTCATTGTTAACTAGCCACGTTTTGCAGGCATTTATACATGTGACCTTTTAGTGTATATTGTTATTCAGGGGTAACTGTCAATAATTCCAGGAAGAAACCTGAGGGGTATGTGGCATAACTCCTGGTGGCTCATTATGAGACTGGTGGTCACCGGGCTCAGAGTTGAGAGAAACTGCTCTTTTTTCCTAGGTTGGTTAGACTTTTGGCCTTTTTGATTATTATTTGCCCCAAATCTTTTGGTGCTTTGGCGGTGAAAGGGGTATTGGTTTTCAGAGGCCACTGGAGTGTGGGGCCAGGGTAATTGGCAGGAGGGGGTAAGTTTTAGGAGGCCTTGTGTTACCATTGTGGACTGTGGCGTTCACGGCACAGGGCACTCTTCTTTCACTCTCTATGTGGTTTACCCCACGTTTGATGGCTTCTTCATTCCTACATCATCCCTGTGAGCATAAATACGAATAGGTCATAAAATGTGAATCAGACTTTCCCATAAATAAAAGTCCTCTCAGGGTACTAGCCACTTAACCTATGGCTGTTTCCTGAGCTGTAATTAATTACCCTCCCACAGGTAGGAACACCACTGATTCAAAAATCCATTGGTTTCCCATATTATCTTTCTCCCTTTATTTGGGTGAAATTCAGGAAAGTTTGAAATTAAATCATTTCTGAAGTTGTACATTATCAAATGTCACAGTAAAATTATCTGAATGCCTCCTTTCCATGTGTAGTTTCAGTTTCCTGAAGGTCATTTCTCCCTTCTAATTACAAGCACTCCAAGAAGAATTATTTTATGCAACTCAGCATGAGAGCAAGTAACTCTCATTTCTTCAGGCTGAGTTGAATGCAGGAGGCTTCCTGAATCTGCCTGAATACAACTGCTTAAGCTACAAGATAAGTGTTTCCTGTTCTGTTATTATTATTCTATTTTTAGAGCTAAGGGTCACTAGGGAAATGGTCTCCCAGTGGTCAGAACCTTGTGCTTGATATTTCTAAAGGAATTTTGCCCTGGTGATAGGTAACAGGGAAACTTGTGTTGTTTCTTTTCTTTTTTTTTTTCCCTGAAGGATAACATTTAAAATGTGAAAGTTTTAACTGTGTGTTAAATGTTGTTTTAAAATTACAAGGTTGAGTTAGACGTATTTATCACATCCAAGTGTACTTTTAGGGGTCTTGCTGTTTGCTCATGAAAAAATAAAAACATACATGTTCACTTGAGAGGATTTTGCTTTCCCATAAATAAGGGGCTGGAATGTCTTTCCAGACTGAGCTTTTCTGTTGTTTTCGCCCCTCACCCAAGTAACTACACTGGAAAAGGGAATGGAGATTAGCATCGCATTTCAGGCAGAGCTAGAACGTCTTATGTTGAGAGTAGCATTCAGAATTTTCCCTGAACTCATTCTCCTAATTTTCCTGACTGTAGTGCATGGACTCTGTTAAATTTTGTTGTGGATTCACTATTAGCCAGCTAAGGGCCAAATCATGCCAACTGTTTTAGAAGCAAAACTTCCGTGCCTCCTGGGATCCATCACACAACCTCCCTCCCTTTATTCAGAGTTTTGTGCCTTGTCAGGTTCTAAAGTTGGCTCCTAACAAGTGTTGTATCAAAACAAAAATAATTCTGCTTCCATTGTTCTCATATATCTTTCAAACTCACGTGGATGGGTTTTAATCCCTTAGTATAAGTTCTTCTATTAATGCAACCTTACAAAATAGTCGAGATCCTACCATGTCCCTTATGGAAACTTTGAAAATGGCAGTAGTATTTCTCTTTTATTTGGAATCTGAGAACATAACAAAAAGGTATAAGAACTCTGTAGTACTTTTCTCTCCACATCTCCTTCATTTTCAAATCACTAAATAGGAGCTTTGGCTCTTACTTTAGCAAAATGATGTACTGTCTACCACTTATAATGGTTTATTATGCACCAGGAACAAGGTTAAGTACTTGGCATGGCAGTTGACTCTTGAACAACATAGGTTTGAACTGCACAGGTCCGCTTGTACGCAGATTTTTTTCACTAAATACGTAGCACATGACCCGCTCTTGGTTGAATATATGGATGCAGAACCGTGGCTACAGAGGGCCAACTATAAGTTATACTCAGACTTTTGACTGCTCAGGGGTCGGCGCCCCTAACCTCTGCGTTGTTCAAGGGACAACTATACTTTGATTCAGTTGGTACAACCAAGTAAAGTAGATATTAACATCCACAGTCTAAGTGGGGAAACTGACACTTTGGGAAGTCAATTTCACATAAGTAGAAAATGAAGGAACCAGAATCTGATGACTGGGCCCCCTCTCATTAGGAGGCCACCCTCAAAAACACGTATATGCTGAGTGTGTTAGGAAAATGTAGTATCAAGTGAAGCAGTGTGCAGCTTCATCACTGAAAATTAGCTGTAAAGATACCACGTTCTCCCTTTGCCTGGCAGACACCAGTGTGCATACGTGCCCATACGAGGGGGTACAGAGATTACCACGTGCCCCTGTCACGCTTCTAGGAAGGTAGCGAGTCATTGTGTCTCCTCCTCCAAATGTTCCGACCCATCCTTTGCAAATATCCTTCTAAAACGAAGGTGGCAGATGAGAAGCAAAGAAAAGAACTACACAAGCTGCATGATAAGTTGCCATATTTCCTAGTTAAGTAAAAAAATTGTCACACCTCACATTCAAGACTGAATTGAATAAGTATCCTGATTAGAGAATTTCATGCATGCACTGAGTCAAATGCCTTTAGTAAATAACATGTTCTTTGAAAGAGAACAAAAGACTGTGTATATGTACTTGGGTTTGTTTTCTGTGTGTTTATTAGTATTGCAGTTCTTTGCTGAAAGTATCTCCCATTCAGTAGTGTCTTTGTGGTCTTCAGTGCCAACAGCCATAAGAAATAGGTATCCAATAATTTAATAACTATTTATTGCAAATTAAGACACTCCCATAGTTTTCTGTGCCTGGGTACCCAGTTTTGGGCTCTGTACCACATTCTCTTCCTTTGAGAACACTGAAAATGAACAGTTGGTTTCAGTTGAGACTTTTTCTGTATCCCACACATCCATCCAGAATGGTTAACATTGCTAAGTTCTTTGTTAAATTAAAATCAAGTGCCTGGCTAAACAACTGAACAAGGAATGTTCAAGAGCCCTTCAGTTTTGATTTTAGCTTGTTGTAATTTTCTTATGATGATGCAAGAGTCTACACGAAGGATGACAGGGCCAGAATTGGGAGCCATTTTGTTGAGAAAACTGGAAATCTTCACCCTTTTAAAAACTTACACTGACTAATATCACATTATTTCTCAAATTAAAGGTTACATTTTCTGCCTCCCTGAGACTAATGTCACTTCTCCAAGTTGAGAACAAGAGCGGCATTTGGCATTTGTTTATCCCAAACCCAAATCGCTGACCCTTTGTTTTTAGTACTTTACCCTTCTGCTTTTTTTTTAATTCTCAAATTAAAGGTTACATTTTCTGCCTCCCTGAGACTAATGTCACTTCTCCAAGTTGAGAACAAGAGCGGCATTTGGCATTTGTTTATCCCAAACCCAAATCGCTGACCCTTTGTTTTTAGTACTTTACCCTTCTGCTTTTGCTTTTTTAATTTGCTTGTGACTTTCTGCTTCCCCCATCTTTTTTTTTTTTTTGGTACAATGATTCTTACCTTGTCTTTCCCCAGTCCGTTTCTGACCTGGAGAGACGTGCAGCATGTTATTGTAAGGACTTCCCGTGCAGGACATTTGAACGCTAATGACTGGAAAACCAATGCTGCTGGTTTTAAGGGTGAGAACTTCTTTCATATTTTGTCACAGGCAAAATATTTTTATTTTTCCCCCATTTTAAATGGAGAGCAGGAAATAGAACCCATCCAAAGAAACTTTAAATTTTGTACTGACACAGGAAGAGCTTGACCTCTTAGAAGAAAAAAAAAAAGGCAGGTTCCTTTTTTTTTTTTTTTTTTTTAATTAAAACAACACATTTAAGGCAGATTTCCTTGGCTTCCCACATCATAGGTCAGTTTCTTTAAAGGTAACCAACTCCCAAGTATTGTCGACCTATGGGGCTCCTCATTAGTTTATTCTTTGCTGTCATTGCTTATCTGAGTGGTATTTGTAACAATGTATTTAAAAATTCCTTTACCTTCTGGAGTGATTACTTCCAGTTAATAATAGCTGGTATCTTTTGTTCCTTTGAGGGTAGCACTGTTAGTTGCTAGGCTGTGCTTTTCTACATATTTTGTTTTTGTTGTTTTTGTTTCTTTCGAACCTTCCACAAACAGAAAAACAGGCATAATTCTAAGACATTACTTTACATAAACTAAAAGTTCTTATGAAGCTTTATAATGCGCAGTCTTAGGCAAGTGTGCACAGGATATAATAAGTGCTGACTATTTTTCCCATGGCTGATAGGGATTCTAGTTCCCTCAAGCTATCTTACTAATGGTAGCCGTTTTGTTTATTGTCATCCATAACATATGCTATAATCAAAAGAAAATAATTATATGAAGCAGATGTCCTATAGTGTAGTATCTTTACTCAGGTTTCAGATAATCTAAATTTTAATCCATTAATTAAGTTACAACAAAGATTACTTTTTGTTGTATCTGCAGACTTAAATTTACTCCCAAATAATCTTTGTATCATTATATATCGCTATGGATGAAAAACAGTATTCTATAACATAAGGAATATCTACTTAAAAATTACAGTTCTGGTCCTCAGATCATTGGTAATAAGCTGAATAATCCTGGGCAAGTCATTTAATCTTTCTGGGCCCTAACTTCCGCAACTTAAACAATTTAGAAGCTGAATAATATTATCTACATAGGATACCTTACATATGATTTTAAGATATCCTTAGTGTATTATACCCAATGTATATAAATATTCATGCTGAAAATGTAAAGTGTAATTTTAAAAATTATTTGCAAGCAGCTTACTAATCATGCTTTGCCAAAACCTATCAATATGCCAGGGAACCAGCGCCATATAAAAGAGTTCTTTGATTAACATCTTCACTGAAGACTTCACTTTTAGAAAAAAAGAATGTCCCTCTGCTTTCGAGTATTATCAAATACCTTTCTGTGCTTGTAAACTATATAATGCAGCAGTGTTCAATGAGCTTTTAATCTAAAGCATTGTAAATACCTGTTGGGATCACATTTTCTGAAGCCCAAATCAAGACACGTGGTTCCAGAATAGCAAATGTTATGTGCAGCATCAAAAATATTTGAAATTTCAGTTGTTCTAGAAAATCCAGGATGTAATTTGCCATATGTATGTTTCCTTTTGATTAGCTTCCCCATGCTTCCAGCCCCGACTGTATAAATCCAGGCAGCCAAGGGGTTGGGTTTGGGGAGGGGGGAAGAAGGGATCAAAACACTGGCTAGTTCAACACTGCAATGAACTTCTTAGTAGAAGGTTCACAGACTAAGTACATTGACCTCAATGAGGCTGAGGAATCAACTTTAACCCAAATAAAAGTCTTAGTTTTACTTACTCCTTTTTGGCAACTTAAAAAGAGCAAATGGTTCAAATAAAAAATGCAACTCTTTTGAAAACCTCTGTTGGTTTTGGAGAGGGGGAAGCCGAGGATTTAGACTAAATCACCAGATCCAAACCTGAGTCTGAAGGGGGCCATACACTGCTTCTGGCAGGGACGAAAGAGCATTTTACTATTGCACGTGGCAATATTTAGTATAATATTTCACTCTTCTCTTAGATTGCTGCCAAGAGTAACAATTAAAGTTCACTTTTTCATAGATGAATTACCCTGAACCGTCTGGACTCCCAGTGGAATTGTTTTGTAATTTTGTTGATGGCAAGCCCCATATTTCATCTAAACATGATCATAATAAGAATGATTTTTTAAGAGTTATTTTCTTCCCTACTCGAAGCATTCCCATCCCCTCCCTAGCGTCCCACAAATAAAAGTGATTAAGGCAGAGGCTAGCAGGAGAAGTGACATGCTTCCGGGAAGGAGAGAATGCAGGTCACTAGGACTGGGAAAAGATGGGCTGACTTTTTATGGGATAAGGTCCGAGCGAACAAAAAATAGTGAAGGCTTGGAAGAGGTTCATGCAACGAGAGCTCATATTTTAAATTAGGTCAGCCAGCTTTTGCAGGCGTTGCTTAGAGGGAACACATGGCCAAATGTTTCTCCTTAGGAGAAAACAGAAGTTGCCTGCAAGCAGAAGCCTGCAGCCCTGGGTGCACTCCTTCTTACCACTTGGTTTAGTCCTAACGCTGAGTGAGATGTAGGTATGAAACGAATCTGAAAACACCTGTGCTTCCCTGGGCTTGCTGTTGTGCCCTCATGTTGAGCGATTTAACTTGTCTGAAGAGTGGGTTTTTGGGTTTTTTTGAAACCACCAGAATTTCATAAATTGCTTGGCAGGTACTCTTCTGCAGTGGGGCCGTCAGTACGAACATGTGAATTTCCTTCTCATCAGGTAAAGCAGAAGCAGCTCAGAGTAGCAACCAGTTAGGTTTTGGGGTCTTGTCATCAATAGACTTGATAGTCTTAGTTCTCACTGATAACTTTGGAGAAGCCAACACCCTACAGATCAGTCTTTCCCCAAACCCTGCCAAGTGCATTTCACACAATGTCCTTACATTTCTTCAGACCTACCCATGTGTGGTCCATCCGAAGCAGAGAACAGAGCCAGATGTTATAGGAACTAGACTGGTGTGGGTCTCCTCTCAAGGCAGACTTGATCCAGTCTTACCCACATGTGTTATGGGCCTGGATTCCTGGCTCCTGGAAGGGGATTCCCTCCAGAAGCAGCTGCTGGCTTCTTGTTGACTGGCATGGACAGATTGCATTCAGGCAAGGAAGTTGCCCTTGAAGGACTGGCTCCTCTGCGTGTTTCTCTGAGAGCGGAGCTCATCATCATACTGATGAGCTGGGTGCAGAGAACTTTCTTCCCCTTTCTATGTGCTCTCATTATGGTCGCACTCTATAAACAATCCTATATTGAGATCAGTTCACAGTAAAGCCAGCCCCAAAGCTGGAAGCCACGCGTCAACATTTTTATGCTAATGGTACCTTAATTTTTAACAATGTGAATTGAACTAAGATGATTCTGTCTTGATGCCTCTTCAAAAATAATAATAATCTCTTATAGTTAAAATATCTTGCAGAAGATTTGTTTTTCAAAATAAACATAATCCAATGAATGCATACCTATGGAAACTAACTAGATGTTATTTAGATTTGTTCATCCTGTGAATAATCCTAGCTAAATTTCAGACACCTTTTGACTTTAAACCTCCTCCAGAGATAGTTTCTTTAATAATAAATATCATGCACCTAGCAAAGAATCTGAGATTATGCATGAGAATAGGAAAGTATTTGTATGAGACCACATGAACAGATGTGGTATTTGCCACTACAGAACTAAAATCCAGATTCCAGTATTTTGCTACTGAGCAACACTTGCAGTGCCTGGAGATGACTTTGGCATTAAATTGTTTGTTTGGGGGTTTCTTCAATATTACTTCTTTCTCCTTTTTTTCCCTTTGCTCTTACGATAAGTCTTTCCTATTTTTTTCTTTTCTACTGTTTTTAATACCGCCCTCGTGCTCCTGAAAATGTACAAATCAGCTGTAGAATTGAGGGCTTTCCCCATCAGGGTGGTTTTCTTCAAGGAATTTAAGTTATGCAGTCTCTTCATTCATTTATTCACAAATATTTCCTGCGCACCTTCAGCAGGCCAGCCCAACACATGCTGAATGAAGTGCAACCAAAGAGGAGAATTAGAAGGAAACGTCCGGGGCCCCATGACTTTGCCTGCTCTGATCTGGCTGTGCTGTGATTTACACACAGAACAGAAGTTTACACTGCACTTTTTCATCCCTTCAGTCAAGCCCAGCCGATCTGCCAGGTTCATGTTTATAAAAGTATCAATGATCCTTCTCTCATCATCTAAAATGCAGCCCAGCCTGAGCAGCAGAAGGCATCTAATGAGAGAATCTCTCTTGTGGAGTGTCATTTACATTTTGACCAGCTCCATTTGTACCTATAGAGTATATGGATCCTAGAGCCATGCAGAGGACTTGAATTCTGCATTCTTCTAGAATCCATGGCTCACAGCCTTTCAGGAAGAATGTGACTCTTTGTTATGAGCCCCTCCCTCCTACTGCTTTAATCTGAAGACCCTGCAGATTTCCCCTTTCTCCCCCAGCCTCCTGGGCTGCGCTCACTGAATCTTTCCCCCATGTCCTTATCTCTGGTTTGCGGATGCAGTCATGAGAAGTATAATTGAATGCATGCAACATCGGTGCTGTAGTTTTTTTCAAAGTGTCTGTATTTGGATATGATGACTTGATATTTTACAGTTAAACTCTCTTAAATCTAGGAACAGGAATAGACGTCAGATAATAAATTAGGAACTTCTGTCATCTTTACTAGGCGAAAGAATGAAAAAAATGTCATTGAAAATCAAAAATGACAACTAAGTGAGCGAGGTTACCACGCCTTCCATTTCACTGCCCTCCCAGACTATGTAAGTCTCTTTTTTTCTACCAGCATGTTGCTGAAACCTCCCCATCCTCCACTGACTCTTTCTTTGACCACAACTAAACTACTAGATTTTTTTTTAATTTCTAACTGATTTCCCACCATGGGGAAAACAATTGACAGTCTAACATGACTTCTTAGCCTCAAAGGCCCTTAACTTTTAATAACCTTTATTACTTTTAATCGCCATCATTTTATTTCCACTGTTAGGGCTGGTAATTTTAAGATGTTCCAATATATTTTTAATACCTACCTGTCTTGCT